GAAGCAAAATAAAATATTAAAGTTTACATCTCTTACACAATAACTTAAAAGTACTGAACAGCATTACGAAACGAATTCTCTGAAAGAAACACGATAAATAAGAAAAATAATGGAACGTAAAAAGTATCTAGCATTTACTCGCAATTTTTTTCGGATCGAGCTCTAGAACCAGATCCTTTTGATATGAAATTGTTAAATAAAGGATGACCTACACTAGTCCAGTAAGAATATCACACTATATCACCGGCACAGAAGTAAAGATTGGTATAAAATCAAAATAACTAATGGAGCACTAAATTTAGCAAATTCGTTTATCAATCATAAAATTATTTACTATTCACTTACCGTAGTGAGATTTATAGAAAACAACCTATAAAAAATAATAATATAACACATATCATAGTTTCATATGTATTAACAATAAACTAAATCATAACCATTTCTCATTTCACCAACCTATTAGTATCCATGGAGGTTCATAGGGATGTCCCCTCTACACGTGAACCCTTTCCCTTAACAATAACAATTACAGGGCCGTCCCCATACCTGGTCCGGTATGAGCACCAAGACTTTAAACCTCAATACCCCGTCCGGTATGATGGTGAAGCGGGTCGTTCTCATATCACGTCCGGTACGAGCGCCAAATTAGAAAGTCTCCATACCTTTATGGTATAAGACAACGTTCACAGTAGGGTTCCCTATGTATCCAGTCCGTCCACCATCTCCCAGGATATCTAGTAAAGCCGTCATTCTATCTGTTTATTTGATCACATCCCTTTTTCTATTTTTCTCTAGTCTCCATTACCAAATCAAACATAATCATATGAACAAATAAACATGCATCCGGTAATACAATCATGTCTCAAATTCTAAATCAAACAGTGGTCAGGTAAGACAGTAATACATGCATTTAAACCATAAAATAGATAAACCAGATACTATCATGCTTTTAGACTGTAATATAAATCACAGAGAATAATGTCCAGTTCGGCCTCCATTAGCAATTCGTAATTAATTATGCACATCAATTTAATTTGTACAAAATACCGTATTATTATTTATTTAAACTTTAATTTTATGATAGGAAATAGAGTGAAGGGTCCTTACTCGATTTGATACCGAAAAGCTAAACGGTTTACTGCGCCTACGGGTGGTTCCTAGCATCCCTGAACTTTTTTCCGAGAACTGAAACACGCTTACAATACCTATAAATGTAACGACCCCGGAAATTTAAAATAAAATGTATATTAAAAATATCAAATGCGGAAGCGAAGTCAAAAATTCGATTAATATCCCTTACACTAAAACCAAAAACGTGTTCACAAAATATAAAAGATCAAACTACCTAAAGGAGAAACTTGAAAGTAAAAGCTACGAATATGACTATGGGGTCTTTAGGCGTCTCCTTCGTCGTCCTCCTGCAGAACTGGCTCGGGAACAATGTCTTTCTGATCTGAAATGGTTAAATAAGGAATGAGCTACACTAGCCCAGTAAAGACATCACGATATCTCACCGTCACGGAGGTAAAGGTGGGTAGAAAACACAAAAAGATCAATGGAGCATAATTTACAACAAATTCTTTTATCAATAATAAATCCTTCACCATCTACTTACCTCGGTGAAATTCATAAAACAGTGTACGAAAGCAATAACATTATCATCATCATGAAATCATATGCGAACTGTATAACATAATACTTATCAAGCCTTTTGTAATTCAATCGTTACACAACATATTTTCCTCATTTATCAGCCCACTAGTATCCATGGAGATCCATAGAGGTCCCGCTACACGTTAACCCTTAACACTTGAAATCAGATTCCAGGGCCGTCCCCATACCCCGTCCGGTATGGGCGCCAAAACTATAAACCTCATTACCCCGTCCGGTATGAGGGTGAAACGGGCCGTCCCCATACCCCGTCCGGTATGGGCGCCAAAACTATAAACCTCATTACCCCGTCCGGTATGAGGGTGAAACGGGCCGTCCCCATACCCCGTCCGGTATGGGCGCCAAAACACATAAGATCTCCATACCCCGTCCGGTATGGGAGACCACAATCCCAGTAGGGTTCCCTACGGACCTGGTCCGTCCACCATCTCCCAGGATATCTAGTCAGCTGACCACATTATACAATTACCCATTTACATAATTTTTATTCTCTTTTCTCAGTCAGCATCATTAATCCACATACAAACAGCAAATAGTATTATGTCAAACAGACACATACAGCATCATATCCAGTCATCATCATATATAAAACAGTACACATGCACATGAACT